TTTTTTTCATATAAACAATCATGTTTTATTCGTTACAGAATGTGGATACAGTGATGCACCATGGCTCAGACATAATTACAAGGCAGGGTCCATCAGTGACAGTGGGTAACGAGTAGGTTACCGTCAGCCCCGGGTCTTTGCGCAGGACCTCCACCAAAGCACGCTGCTGGATAGGAAACGCTGTACACAGCTCTGATTATTTCCCAGGATGTCTGGTGTCCCCTGCCTCATTGTAGTACAGCAGCCATGTCTGTGGTGGAGACAGTGAATGAGCAGTTAGAGCACTTTCTTACGGCGGCATTGAGCGTCCCAAAATAAAAGCTCCCCTAGGCATCGGGCTTGTGCTCTGCTGGCCCATGCCCTGTAATTGAAGCTGCAGGGTGGTAATGATGATGATGCATAGTGGCTTGTTTGGAGCCAGACCGAAGGCTCCTCTGCTGGAACTGTCCCCAACGTCTCCCATGAGCCTTGATCTGAAACAGCCGCCACTTCAGTTCACCATTTCCTGTTTGTTTGTGTCTCGAAGTGGCCAATCACAGAGGCTTGTTCTTGTTTTTAGAGATTATCCTGACAGTTAAGCCGCCATTTTCCCCTCCCATATACCAAAGCCTTTTCCAGACCATAAGCCAGTCACACTCTGTCATTCATTCACTTAAATAAGATCATGACATTTGGGCTCAGTCATCCAAAAATGCTTTTCTGAGCAGCAGATGACCTTTGAAAACAGATAATGAAAACTGATTTTTAAACCTGGTTTATATAAATAAATAAATCACTTTTTTGTAGAGCTATGTAAAACCAAAATTCTGAGAATGCCATTATTTTCTGGTTTGAGAAATTCAGCCTGCTATGCACCTGTCTAGGTTAAAAATACACAAAAAGTTTGAACAGGGAATGCACACGGTTTTCTCCTCCGAAATTGAGCAATATTTGGTTAATGCCACATGTTGCTAACACACAAATGTTCCTTGTTTCCCTAAATGCTTGCTGGGATATGTCTCAGCCCCCTCGGCCCTGTCAGGGATGAAGCGTTCATAGAAATGAATGGATGAATGATACAACTAAACTGCATGCTTCAGCACAAACCTCCAGCCAGTCTGCCATCTTTGCTGCAGATGTCTTGCTGCTGCAGAAGGGTCATATCATGCAGAAAGATTTCAACATTACAGTTTTTCATAGTTGTTAACACACACTTTTCAAAACTGTTAACACAAAACAATAAATATAAAATATATCTCTACCAAGCAACAACAAACTGATATGCTCAACAAAAACACAGCTACACTAGAAATATCCTTATGTATGTTTAAAAGTAATTAAAAGGTGGTAAGAGACATGTATATCTACTCTTGTGTATACATAGATACACACACAAATGTATAACGATATCAAAAACATGTATTTTCTATTAAAACGCTGTATTTCTTAACTCATTGAACCACATATAGGCAATAGGAGAAAACAAGAGAACCTTTCAGTAAGGGTTTTCTGTAAAGGATACAAGAAGACAAATGCAAGATCTAATAAAGAAATTAGGCTGCATCTTGCCATCTATTTTGGTCCAGCCACAGCAGCTCATCTGTCCAGTCCCCACATCAACATGCATCCACCCTTGCCTGGAGAGGATGCATGTGAGCGGTTGGTGGTCACACACCTTTAATCGCCCTGCAGGAAAACAACCCTTTGATTGGGTTTAGGAATGGGGAATATGGTGGGGGATGTAGAACAATACATGTATAAACTAATTGCCAGATTAACCACTCTCTGTGGCCTTTTCACTGTAACAACAACTTGTGTTTACAGCTTTCAGGAGTGTGTGTGTGTTTTGCAAGTTGGTAAATCAAGCTTGGCATTGTGATTGGAGTTTCCATTGTTACACAATAATTAAATTGTTAATGAGGTGTCTCATAAAGAGGCGGGTGGGTTTAGTAGATGTAGAATTTAACTGAGTGTAAAGGAAAAACTGGTCTTGCAATCTTCAGACTGGGTTTAGGGATTTCGAAATGACCCTCTTCCATAGTGATTAGAACACAGACAAAAACAAATATAGAAGTCTCTTGTGAAATATTCAAAACTTTGGCAGATCATAGTGTGTGTGTGTGTGTGTGTGTGCAAAGGACTCAATCACTCATACTGTAAGAAGCCGATTGACATTTCTGACCCTTAAAAACTGAGGTTTGAATGATCTCATTCATCAACTCAGACAAACCTAAAGTGGCAGACATTTAGTTTGGAAATGTTATTGTATATGCAGCTCAAAACCAGCACAGCATACCAGTGACTTGCCCTAATGATCCCGGGTATGTTGACTGTGAGCTCCTGATTACAGTTCACTGCAGCTTTAATCAGGGCTTCCTCCTCTCGCCAGCCACAGGAAGAATTGGCTGAGGATTTTCTCCAGTGGTCTCTCCCATCTAGAGAAACATCCAAGACAAAATAAAAGGCTTTGCTCAACGTGCTTGTGTGCCCCTCCCTACGTTTGTAGAGGCTCTGTTGGCACTGCCATGGTGCAGTTGACCAAAAGCTCTGAGATCAGCCATGTGTAATGGTGTGATGGCTCACAATGGAACAGGGATGCTTTGAGAACAAAATAGACATTTGGGCAGCCCAGTGTAAGGCCAGTGCCAGACGTGCCATGGTTACTGCTATAAAAGGCTGGCATCAGACTGCAGAGAGTTGATGATGGTAATGGGGAAACTGCTCTTGTGGTGCAGACGTTTTTTTTTGTTACTTTCTAAGGTCAAACTCAATCACAGCTGCATACTCGGTGTCACGGTGGAGCGCTTGTTTTTTCTCCCCCCTCTTGCCTTTTGTTTTTCTTTACTTCATTGCATTCCTCTTGAGTCCCATAGATTAGAGTTGTGATACTATCTGTAAATCTTCTGCAGAGAGCATGAAGATCTACATTCTGTGGCCAGACGCTTATATAACAAAAGCCTTGGTTTGCATTAGTGTGGATTCATGTGCCCATACTGTGTGGCTTCACTGGGTCTTCCTGAAAGAATCCCCAAAGCATGCATGTCTTCCAGGTATATGCACTTTAGATTGGTTCACAGCAGGAGAGGACATGGATGTCTTCTGATCATATGGAAGATGTGATCTTATGAGCCTGCAGTTATTTTTTCTGGGGTTGTATCCTTGGAGAAATCGCAGAAAGACATCCCAATGATCATTTCTGGTAAAGGCTTCCTGGCACGCACCACTAATCTACCCACTCACTAAGGAAAAAGAAGAGGAAAATTGGACTCAATTGAGAACAGAGACATTGTTCAAAGAGTTGCTGAATTGGAAGCGGGTGCTGGCATTGGTCACACACATCTTTGACTCCATCAGTGCCACTGTGTCAGCATGGAGCTCCAGCATCAGCTCCAACTTGACTCTCAGACGTGCACCGGTTCAAAGACCCGGGTGGACGCATTATTTCCCTCTTGGATGGAGCTTGTGCAACACTGATGCCAGCTGGTCATGGTTGAGGGAGAACAACTCAGTGAGCTTTATTGTAAAGGCTCTGGAGTTGTCTGTGGGCTGTTTGATTCACAGTCAAACATTTTCCTGGACTGTGCACACACATAAAATAAAGTAATAGCTTTGTTTCTCAGCAAATTGGGAGTTGTGAAAGTGTTCTGGGACTTCCCTTTTCTTGAAACCTAGACATGTTTGTTCGGCTAAATATTGCAGCATTGCATGCATTTCGTGACCAGTAAGCGGTAAGCATTGCAGGTGGACATGGTTAGATGCCAGACAGTGTTGTGGTTGAAAACAATTAGTTTGTTGGAATTCCTGACAGTAAAAGTGTCTGGGTTGAGTTATGTGCTGTGCAGACTTAGTCCAGGTGTGCTCAGTGTTTAGTGTGAACATGTGCCTGAGGTCACTTCACTGGTGGTTCACGCCTGACATAAGTAAACTTGGATAAATCAACCTTTGCCTGCAATGTTGTAACTCCTGTATCGTGCCTTTTGGTTTCTGCTACAATAAAAAATGTCATTGGCACGTCTACTGAGACCTTAGTTTATGAGCTTCTCGTGTACAGTAGGTACGTAGCGCCCTCTTCTGTCAAAATTCAAACATTATATACTTAACTAAGACTTTGCTCCCAGTTAACTTCCTGAATTACACTATGGCAAGTTTTCAATTTGCTTGAATGAGGTTCAATTGACGTGGAACATCTTCTCTCATTTCATGACGATGAACACGATGTATATCTACCATGAATAATTGTGAGATTTGCCTGGCATCTGGAAGATATTGAAGTACATGCAAGCTCTGTCTTTCCCATCAGACTAACAGAGGATGTAGTGCCAAACATCTGTTGCCACGCAAACCATCATCTATCAGCTGAAGGTCTGAAGTACAGCTCTGATATAAATGGCAATCAAGATAAAAAAAATGTTCCTGTAATTGTCGAGATGGATCAGCCCACAGTGGAGGAATGTTGGGCGTGTGATTCATGCACTGGAAACGTCGAGAGCACGGGGCACCCAAATACAAAGAAACAATGACAAAGTGCATCGCTTATTCTGCACTGCAACAACTTCTCCAGGTTTCAGTCAAACGTTTGGGGATTATGAAGCAAAACCAAGGATCTGGTGTTTCTCCATCTTGAGCTTATTTGTCTTTTATGAGACTTATAAATCTGTCCTATTTTAATCTTGAATGATTATATCCTACTGGAACACATTTGTTTAATTCCAACTTTCCTACAGTGCAGTCTCCTCAGATTTAGAGCTTCCTGAAACAATGACGTTAAATGTGTAAAGTGCCAATTCGCTGCTTGGAGGAGCAGTAATCCAGAAATACTGCTGGTGCATCCCGACGTCTGCTCTGAACATAGCTCTTCTTGTTGCATTTGTACAGTAACATTGCATCATGGTCTAAGCACTTGTTCCCTGTTTCAATAGATTCCTCAACTCTAAACTGCACACTTGGTTTCGGCTGCTACAGGAAGTAGGACTTTCCTGCTTCCTCACTCTCTCTCATTTTATTGTCATCTTCCTCCACAGGAGTTCTCCCCTTCAGACTACAGGAATAACTCTGTGTCCAGCAGAACCCCCACCCCACCAGGGCGCTACTCCCCCCACAGCCCCATCGATCGGGACGTTCCCATGTCCCCTCGTCGCAGGTAAATATCCACTTGCATTGCAAACATCCATTATATTTAAACCCAACATGAAAAGACATCCTAATAATGGCAGAATATATGTATACTGAGGCTATGCACCCACCCCATTTAGGTACGTTAGTTGAGTTTATCTGACAGAATATGAAGATATATATTTTTATATTAATCCGGTGTTTTCTTTAACATTGTGAAATTGTAAAATGTATTTAGGTTCAGGCCCAGTGGGGTTTTCTGCCTGTTCTTCTTCCTATATTGTGATATATGTTATGGTTGCATTGTATACATTGTGCAATTAAACTCAAATTTGAAATATGATATCATCTTGCAAATGCAACCAGACATATACTATCTTTTGTATATACATTGATGCTTGCACTGCATCTGTTACAAAAGTGGAAAACCCACTACTTGTATACTAACGATATGCTAGAATATGAACAACCAGATGTTCCTTACTCGAGAAACACAACGTGCAGAAATGCCTTTACACTTGAATCAATTTTAGACCCTTCAAAAAGTTCCTCTACAGAGATTCAAGTGTAGAGCACAGTCTGAACAGCAGCAGGATCTTATCTCATAAGAGCATATCTTGTAAGCATTCAGCGCCATCTACAGGCCAGTAGTGGTTACACTCACAGGTTCAAGCCTACGAAATTAACATGACCTGGTCCAGAAAAGCTTATAGGCACTTTCCCAGATGAAAGAAAACATTAAGTATGACCTAGTTCTACGAGTAATAACACATTTAGCAGATATCTTGTTGTAACCTACATGTATGGTTAGGTTTGAGGCTGTATTCATTGTACTTGGTTATTGAATGTGAACTCTCATCTAATCCCTCTATGGTATCTTCTTTCACCTACAATAGGGTTACATAATCAAATCTGACCGTTTAAACATGAAATGGTCACCATGAGACAAACACAAATCTATTATACAGTAGGAATAATGTGTTGCAATAAGGTCGTATCAGTGGTAAGGATATTGCAATATTTCCCATATTTGGAATTCATCTGGAACAAACCTCTGCTAGAAACATTCTTTCCTATATTTTATTTAAACGTAACCCTCTCTTAAAGTCTGTGTGGAAAGACAGTAAAAAGGACAAATGGACTCAAACATATTTAAAACAACTGCATTCATTATGTCTACGACTGTTAGTCAGCTTGTGTATGCACTGCTGTGTTGCAGCTGACTTGTTGGTGCTTCGTTTGCAGCTGCACTCGTCGACTACACATGAACTCTCAGCCTTTGGGACTCTATTGTGTTCACCATCTGCACGTCAGTTGGCTTTTCCCTGCTTCGCCCCCTCTGATGAGGTGATGAAGCTGTCATGTGACTCGGTTCATAGCGTGCAGGTGCCGTCCTCAGAACATTTTTTTTGGATGCACCTACCAATGTTTTGATTCTCAGCAGGAATGAAAATCTTCTTGTGTCCACTCTGTGCTGCAGAGCCTGCTTTCTGTGTTTTCACAGTGAGGGATGGTTGGCTTTGGCCCCTGTTCCTCTTTTGGTAACCACCACCAGTGATATGACGTGTCAGCAACTGCATATCCAAACACCCATATTCCCCCAAAAAGTCAGATTTGACTTCTCCCCCTGATTGGCCCCCAGTCTGAAGCCCCCAGCCTGTAAAGCAAGCCTCTCCCTTTTCCTCCCCAGCCAATCACAGACTCAGTAACACCCAGTAACCCACCCCTTCATGTCGCATGTCCAATGAGTGTCAGCTCAGAGGCACACCTTTCAGTCAGGCTCTTGTTTTTCTGTCTCGTCTGGTTTAGATAGAGGTGTGTGTGTGTTTCGGCATCTTGTATTGTTTTTTCTCTTGTATGTTGCAAGTTGCTACAGCAGTGTTAGACATACAGAGAGTTCCTGGAGAGAATAGTTGAGCTACCTTTCTTTGTTCCCTCTCTTTCTGTTTGAGGTGAGTCCTGTCATTTTGAGTTTGGTCATTTGGATTTATTTTGTCAAGATGTGCCGGCTTAGGTTTTGCACTGCTTGTAATTCAGGCTGAGAAATGTGGTTGGAATTTGACTGTAGTTGTGAACTTTGATATGTTTTGGCTACGCTCATGTGTTATGACTAAATCCTTATCATTGCATTGTGCCAAGTTTGGCTATGGCTCCCAGCAACACATTCATATTAGATGCAGCCATTGTATAAATGTGAGAACACTTAGAAGGAACGACTCAGATGACAAACTCCTCTGAAGTTGCCTGATACTTTGTGAACTCTGACTGCTTCCTCTTCAAATCTGTGCACTCGACTGGTTTCTCAGATGCATGCTGCCCCCCCCCCCCCCTCCCTCCCTCACTTCTGTTATTTGTTTTCCTGCCTTTTGACCTCGACTCTCCATTTGTTTAGAGAATGCCATTTCAAAAGAGAGATGGTGAGCGAGGCAAAAATGGAAATGGATTTCTGAGGGTGGAGCTGAGCATGTGGAGAACTTGGAGGGTGTGCTTTAGAGGTCTGTTTTCAATTTGAACCATGTTCAGAGGGAAAGGGTCTGAGAGCCTTGGTCGCATATTTGTTGTCTTGTCTGTTTTCCATCTCCTATTTCAGCCATATTCATTTAGAAGGAAGCCTAAAGCTGAAATACAGACAGGAGCAATGCACATACACAGCCCACCGTCAAGGTTTTAAACCCATGTCGACATGTGACGTGGTGTTTTACATGTATAACACACTGAGGCATGTTACATGTACAAGAGAGGTTGATACGTAATTTAACTGACGCCCTTTTTAGGTTTTATTTTTCTTCTTTTGCACATTGGAGTTAAAACAAACAACTCTATTGACAGTAAACCGAGAGATAACAGTAAAAGGTAATCCGAGTGAGGAGGGGTTAATGAATAACTAATTGAACCATCCTTATCATGGGGTCATGATTGTTTAAATGCTACTGTAATATATAAACCAAAACACTCTGAAAGTCCTGCAGAGAGCAGGGTCTTCTCCCCATGCTGCATAAAGTAAAGGCATTTGATTTGTCACAACAAGCTTGGTGTACTTATAAAATATTAAAATGTGTTCTTAAGAGATTCCCTGACAACAGCAATCCTTCAAATTAAACCATGCAACCGGTGAGTTTTTTTTATCTCTGGCCAAACTGTTAAATGCTCTTGACCATCCAAGTCTGCCACGTGATCTTCATCCGACTGAGCATGTGTTTCACAGACGGAAAGAACAAGCCTGAAACGAGCAAGGAGTGAATAACAGACCTGGCAGAGCATCACCAATGAAGATACCAAGTATTTGCAGTGTGCAGTTCATAAATACCATACACTACAAAGGCTTGGACACCATTAATGTGACATGTCTGTGAAATAACTCTAGTACATTTGGAGAATGTGTAAAAAAAAAAAAAAAAAAATTCCATCACCCTTAACTGAATCTTAAACTCTGCCTTTTAACCTCATAGTCATTGTTTTACATCACATCCAGTGTGCACGAGTAGGCCTACGGAGCAAACACAACTCATTTATTGCTAATATGTCCCTGTCCAAACACTTCATTTGGTCCTTGTTCAACAAGTACCTACCCGTACCACTAATACCCTATAGTGCAGTGATGCTTAAAGGTATGCACATATCAGCGAAGTCACAGTAACAAACTGTTTCCATGGTTTAGGTTTCGCCCGAGCAGATTCTTCACAGCGCAGGTGTCAGTTTAAAGAGTCAATATTTGGGCAGATGTGTTCTGTGTGTGACAGGCGGGACACTCAGTCAGGTAGAGTGGACTGACTGGCTGACAGGCGTGCTGCAGGTGGAAGGCATCAAACCGGTTCCTACTGACAGCAAACACTCACCAGCTGCCTGCAGACAAACACACCAGAACGTACTTTGTGTCTTTTGGGTTTCTATTGACTTATTAATCAGCTGTCAGTGCAGATTGTAATGCGTGTGCTTCTTCAAGGAGAGATTGGTATTTAAACACACGGGTATGGAAGTAGCTGTAAAAAATTAGTAAACAAAGTCAAATGAGAGAGAGCCACTGTATCTAATTTCTTAATGAATTGATAGCTACAGGAAGTGAAAAGCTTCCTGCATTCTTGGTTGTTTTCTAGCTGCTCCTACTGGATTAGAACACATTTGACTCAGATGTGCCTTTTTTATGTTCATTTTCAGGTTTCGTACTGTATTTACATTTGCCTCTACTGTGAAATGTGTATATGCTTTAACGCCTGTGCTGCAGCACCTCTTGTCACCCTCCGTCCGAAGAGATGTCCCGCCCCTTATCCTATCATGCACAATGTGTTGGAGCGCTAGCCAATAGGAGCGTGAGTGTTACATGGTGATGTTACTATGTTATAGAATTAAACAAAGGGGTCCAAACTTCCTCCGGAGGGAACTTGGGATTATAGCTTGTGCTGACCATTCCCATGCACTTAAACCTATATCACACACTACAGGAAAGGAAACACCATAATAAGGCCTCTTTAAGCTTCCACCATCAGCCGTAAGTCCTCTTTGTTTTTCCTTGAGGCAAGAACCGTGATACAAATGTGAGTAGAGTCAGAACAGTGCCTCTGGAAAGGGGATATGTTGGGGTCCTGTTGAGGGAAGATGTGTGATTGGTTACTGTTTGGCCTCCTGCCTGTGCTCTGCAATCTAGGCTTAATACTCAGAGGTCAAGGTCTCAAAGCCAGCTGCTGCCCCTTCCTGCATTTCCTCTGGTTTAAGTTAAACCGGACTGATGAGTCTTTCATAAATGCACATTTTCCGCTGAACACATCACCTACAGCTTGACGTGTGATTCCAGTAACAGCAACAGTCTAATATATATTTGTATTTCCTCCATCTACAGCAGTTCGAGCTCTGACTTTGCCATGCAGAAGTTCGACAGGGACTCGGAGGTGTACAAGATGATCCAGGAGAATAAGGAGTCTCGCACGGCGCCTCGGCAGTCCAACACCTTCAAAATGCTGCAGGAGGTCCTGGAGGCCGACGAGAAAGGTGAGACGCGCTCTGCAATGCAAACAAATGAGCTCAAGTGAAAATAATGGCTTTGTAGTTAGCATGCAATTCTAAAGAGTGTCCAAATATTTACACACATTTAATACTTTGAATAAAAATAATCTGACATTATCAGGCATCTGTACTTAATGCTTGATAAAGGTCGAACCTACTCTAACTCAAGATAAGCATGAATAGATACTGAATGAGATATTCATGTGTTTGCTATACAGTCTCTTTTTTCTGCTCTATGCATGACTTATTTTTGGACTGATGGTTAACCACAGAAATCTCTCTGCATAGGATATTTGAGGTTTCAGCTATTTTGTCAGATGCTAGATAATTTATTTCATCTCCTACAGTTGTCTAGCTGACACGTCTCCATTTATAAACCACTCCTGTTAGGCCTATCGTGCAGAAGGAGCGATTTAACTTCGACGTATGGCCATCACCTGTGTGCAATTCACATTTTGAACACCATATTATTGAGTGCATCTGTCCTCCTTTGCCCTCTCTGCTTTGATGAATGGCGAGGGGAAATAAATCCAGAGAGCAATAACATTCTCTCATGATGTGATGATGACCAATGTGTGGAAAACCCTATTTCATGAAGCGTGTCTCAGGGCTGATGAGCGATGATGGAGAGTGGGAAAAACAAACGAGGTCCTCTGACAGAGGGCAGTGAAGGCAAACAGATTGTTAGTGTGATGAACAGAGATGCCGGCCTGTCACAACATCCCTTTGAGCAGCTCTGTGTGTGTGTGTGTTTGACTACAGAGGCAGCACTGCGATTCCCAGGACTTTCGCCCAACATTCCCAAATCAAGCTCATCAGTAGGAGGCGTCAAAAACACCCACACCTGTGAGAAGTGCGGCACCGGCATTCTGTAAGTCACCTGCAGTTACACGTTCCCTGGACTCGCACTGTGATGCGTGTGAGTCGATACAAAGATCATTTGCCCTGCAGTAACAGTTGTTCCACATGAAAGGTTTGATATGAACTGCGTGTGGTTTTATCTTTCATTTTTGGAATGTGTCACAACCAGTTATTAGGACTGCAGCATCTAATTACTGAATATAATGAAAAAGTCTTAAAGGGCCAGTGTAGTATTTACGGGTCTATTAGCAGAACATTTGATATTTTCTTGTAAAGTGAGCCCTTCATATCTACATAGGGAGCGGATACCACAGTGAGACAGTAGCTCAGAATGGACTAACCTAACACTGTAGTTCTCTGCAGTAGCGCCGCCTGAATTCCCTTTGAAGTCATTTTATGGTTAATTTAGCCTCAGCAAGGCAAAAGTCCTGAAAGATACAACTTTGTACTTGTTTATTGTAAAGGGGAGTGTGAGCAAGGGTTTTAGGTTGGTAGCAATCTGCAACCACAATGAAATCTGTCCGTAATGCAGATGTATTTATTTCCAAAGCTGATCAAATATTTGAATTGTTTTTAAGAAACATCTACAAACAAGTGAACCTGCCTTTTTTTAAAACCACATTTGTAACAAATTAATTTAGGCAAGCAAGATAATACATGTCAGTGTGACATCAACATGCTAATATGTTTTGCTCTGTAAAGGATTCAAATTACATGTGATGTTCTTCTGTGCTGCAACTCTTTGATTTGCATTGGAAATGAGGGAAATCCTTGCACCCTGTTGTCAGACGGTGTAGTGTGTGTTTGCCTGGTGTCTGACTCACTGCTTTTATTTTTCCACAGCACCCTGGCCGTGCGCATCTCAGACGACCGCTTCCGCCACGCAGAGTGCTACACGTGCACAGACTGCGGCCTTAACCTCAAGATGAGAGGTCACTTTTGCGTCGGAGATGTGATGTACTGTGAGAAGCACGCCAAAGAGAGGTACCAAGGCCCAGGAACGTCCCCTCAGGCCACCATCTCCCCCCGCCAGTGAGTCTGCCTCTCCACCCCCCCCCCCCCTCCGCTCCGGACGTAGAGTGCTGCTCGTCTGCCTGAAGCTCCACACCATCTGACTCAGTTATAGACCTTGGGATGGGGCGTGAGGTGGACAATTGTCAACAAAATGGCAGAGGATGTTCTTTTTTTCTGATCACATTTAACCATATTTTGCAATATTATGATTCACTTTCTTGCCTTTCTTATAATCGTATGAGAAGTGGGGCTTTGTTTTCCAAATGGCCTCACTTCAGTTCTTCATTGTCCCACCGGGAAAAATTGGGCTATCAGCAAGTATAGATAAAACAAATATAGTAAACACATAACAGTACAACAATATAGTTTATAAAAAAACACACACTTTACGTTATTCTTCACTTTAATGTGGCACAGCAGCCATGGACTAAAGCCACATCACAATGGCCAGATTCACAGAACGCCAACACTTTAGACAAAGTCACCAGGACTGGCTCTCCGAGGATCTGGATCTGAATCATTTGAATCTCCTGCTGACGCAAAGGGACCAAAATCTCACCGACACCTGGCTGCATGCCATTTCAAAATGTACTGTAAACAGCCAGTGCTAAGTGTGTTTGTGTGTGTGTATGGATGCATGCTTTCACGTGCAGTGTGACTGTGTGTGTGCGAGAGAGGGAAGGGAAGTGGGATCCAAGTTGTTACAGATGCAAAGGAGTTTGTGAATTTTGTGCTAGTGTCAGGCCAAAAGCCCTTGAATTTTTCTATTTTTCTTTTGTAAGAAGAATTTATGAGTAGAAATAATGAAAAAAATATTTTCTGACTTGTTTTGCTTTGTTGCTTATGAGGGACTATAGATTAATGCAAAATATACAAATATTTTTGATGTTTTTGTGATTGAACTGTGTTCTATAATATAGACCATAATGTATGCACAGGACATTTAGTGTGAAAAGAGTTGATGATGATGATACACTTGTCCAGTTACAGCAGTACTCAGAGATACACTATTATGTTCACATTTCATGTGGCACTTAATAAAATCGCACAACTTAAAGCTTCTTCGGTGATGGTGACTGTGTTGGAAAAAGTGTTCAATATCATATCTGGTTCTTTACTTTATCAGGGACGTCTGCCTTAACTTAAAGTATTTTTATTGACTTGCCATTATACAAGTAGACTACACTATTAGTACCTGGCCAGGGTCAAACAGGTTTCTTTGCAATACATACGTATATGGCCAATATTTTAAACACTTCCAAACACACCTTTTCTCATAGTTTCCTTTCGTCACATGTTGGATTGAAAACCGCATGCAACTAGTTTCATTCATGTTTTGATAAACATTAATAACGTTATTAATTTAACTTTTTTCCTTTCTTAGTTATGAAAATTGCTCTTTTACAAAACATGGCATTAAATCACAAACCTTCTGTGTAATAACATATGACTTAACTTGGGATTGAAAACAGGCATACCAATTAATACATGTATCTGTTGTTAGGAGTGTGTTAGTGTTAGGAGTCATGTGACATGACAAACACAACATGAGCAAACATACTGTTGCCAATGCTTTCTGTTTGGAAACACTAGTGTAGAGGCAGACATTTAAATAATGACTGTGAGAGACGTACATCACGAAAACTACACATTCTTTTTTTATTGAAAAGAGATGTGAAAGGTTGTCTGTCTGCTTCGTCTTCGGATTCCCCGTTCATCATTTACATGAGCTGATTTGTCCTTCAGACTGTTGCCTACACACACTAACCACACCACAGTGTTGGATGGAGTTTACAGAATTAAAAAAAGAGGTGTGGGGACACATCCCTGTTTTTAGAAGCCAAATGATACAGGTCTGACAAGTAGGGTGTCACCACATGTGACATGAGAATACGGTTATGCATATTAGCAGGGTGAGTTAGGACTTGCCTTTTGTGACCTCTAAAATGTGAAGCTGAAGGTGACACACAGCAGTTCAAGTGTTCAGTTACTCTGAAAGGCATTAAAGAGCAGGATTTAACCCAGAGTTACTTGCTTTCACTAATTGACATCACCCTTTATCATTTAGAAGAATATAATATAATTGGGAGGGATGAAACTCTCTTTAATGGTCACACATGCAGAGCACACAGCACACACAGTGACATTTGTTCTCTGCTTTAAACCCATCCTAGTACCAGGAGTCTAGTACTAGGAGCAGTGGGCAGCTATTGCACAGCACCCGGGGAGCAATGGGAGTGAGGGGGGAAGGGGGGTGTCCGGTGCCTTGCTCAAGAGCACCACGGCAGGGCAGGAGGTGGACTGGGACCTCTCCAAGTAGCAGTCCACACTCCATATTTAGGTTCAAGCTCCAAGCCCCTACTGACTGAGCAGTGTCAGTGGCTAGTCCTGTAATTTACTCTGCTGAACACAAGAGGGCAGCATTGCTACATTCGAACAGTTCTTCTGAACTCTGGGAAGGCAAGAAACAAGGAAGAGAGGGAAAACATGGACTACTATACAATCAATGTTTACATAAAAAGCTTGATTATGTGAAGACACAGTATGATTTATTATCTTAAATAGTTTTGTATAAAAATGTAAACAAAAACTAGAGTATGCATACATTTATTAAGTAGAATGTATTGCTTGTGTAATCCCCAATTGTTACAGTTTTGAGTGATTCCTTCAATATGGATTACAAAATATGATGCATTTACTTTGCATATACAAAAACTGGACTGTGCAAACATGATGCAGTGCCATACAGTGTGTATTCTGGGTTAGATGTCATTAAGGTTACCACTACTGTGGTTACGTGTGCTGCTGATAATAATTCTTAATGATAGACAAAGGTATTTAGTGTTGAAAAATATGGCACCACATTATGATTTGATAACCCCATAAACTGTGGAAGCGGTGAGTTTAACGTCCCCATAAAGCCGTAATTAGAACCATTCACAGCAGGAAAAACTCCAGGAAGGCTGAGAGCTGCTGAGACTGGGGGCGGGCCTTAAGTGTGCAGTGCCAATCACACCACTAGATGTCACACGATCACCGAGAAAGACTGAAAGCCTTACAGAGGGCATGGTGTTTGATTCCCTGCTGGAAGTGTTCTTTTATTTATCTACTGGCAGAAACACAGGCCTGAGCTGTGCCTCAATCTCAGCCGTCACTGTGTCTGGTTCCCATCTCTGATTGCCTCGCTGTTTTTGTTATATCGTGTAATTTAGGGGGACAAAAGGAACATGCCCAAGAGAAATCCTCCATCACGTATCGTCTGTCATATACATCCTGAAACCTTACGTAACTTCCACCAAAAAATCTCCCCAAAGACATTTTCTCAGTCCTACTTATTCAGCCTCTCTGTGTTCCACCTTTCCTTTTCTCAACTTTCTCCCCTCTCGCAACTCCCCACCTGGAATGGAGTCCAGATGTGGAGCAGGGAGAAGGAGAGATTGCTTGCTTGGCTATAAGGAGCGAGGGGGGCTGCGGGGTGCATACAGAGAAAATGTTGGAACGACATTAAAGTTTGTCTGGATGCCATTAAGTACAATTTGATGTAATGTGCAGTTTGGGACGTGACATTTTAAATGGAAACTGTGCTCTCCAGATGAGAGAGATTTGGGCCTTGTGGAGTCGGAGGGGGGTGTTGTACTTGAAGCCTTATTCAACAGCTTGGATAAACAGCCCTCTGTTTCGTTGCTGAGCAGGCGCCCATCCACTCCTTGTGCTTTCTTTCAATAATCATGCTGGCTTTCTGAGCCCGCTCCAGTGTACAGTATCATATACAGGAATAACAAACCCAGGGTCCACGGTGCGGGTCAGAGCACAGAGCGCCATTATACTGAGGTGATGCAGTTTAGATATGTCAGTGAACACATGTCAAGCCCAATCACATAAAGTCCCTTTCCAAAAAGCTTTCCTGAGTAACCTTCTCATATTTGGGAATACTCTCCAGATTTGAATCCCTTCCATCTCCATCCTGCCCGGGCCTCTCGTATATCAAAAAGTAGGCTATTTTTAAAACAGAAATCCATGGAGTCCAGGACTGTATTTTGGGAACTTTCCATACACGCAGGCAAAAATGTGAAAAGGAGAGCTTTAGGAAGTTTATGATCCCCGGTATTTTTTGGACAGTGTGATTCTTTAGTGGGGTACATGTAATATTTAACACATTATTCTTTCAACACAAAGGTTTGAGTTATTGGATTCTTTTTAAATCCTAAAAGAATCAACATGGAGATCTACAAAATATATCTACTTTGGCAATAAATACAGCACACGGTTTTCGAAGAACATCACTCTCAGGTGACATTGATTTCACATGTATTCTGTTTAGCAGATCTTGGCTTGTTAGAACTGCAAAAACAAATTTGCATTAAGTAGAAAGGTCACCTCAATACATCTTAACTGGGTCATTACCACATAAAAACTTGTATTATCTGTTACAACCTTTTCTAAGAAGCTTGGTTTTGCAGGTGGCCTCCATTGGATATGAAAACAACTGCTCCTGGGCTGGAACATATGACACAAACTCAAATCATAAGTATGCCATCTTCAATATGACAGCTCAGTGTAATTTTATCGTCAAGCTCTAACTTTTCTGTGCTGCTTTTACACTCTCATGCAGTGACAATATAGACAATAGTGAAATATATTTATAAAAGACTTACTTCCCCTCTGTCGCGCTGAATGAATGGAAAGCCTTTGGTCTGAAACACATAATCTACAAGAGACTTCCAGCGTTCATTCTTAAATTTAGTTTGCTCTCCCAATGCAGGCGCACATTGTAATGAAGACCTTCCTGACTATACGAGCTGGGTGGAAACAGCCACGTCAAATCAAAGAGCAACACAACAAAAGCAATATGGCACTGAAACAATTTGTATCCCATAAACTCTCCCATTATTTAATCAAAAACACATCCATGATCTTCTTCTCTGCTCCATAATGTTTTCCATGCATGACATAGGCTACTCTTTACATCCCACCACCTATCAATAATGAACATGCTGTTATATAAGAAAGATAGTTACTCTTTGCATTTATATGGCAGGACTGTTATTAGCTCTCCAGCTTGCTGTTCACCTGCGTGCACTTTGACCTTTGCTCGTCACTAGAGACTTCCACACACGCAGCAAGCTTGAGAGCTGTGCAACAATAGTCCGGTTGTTTGTTTGCTGTCTGTGTTGCAAACTTGATGACTTTCTCGCTATATTTGGTGACATTTGAAGCTAATGCTGCTAGCTACTTTCATTTGAAAAAAGTGTGTGGGTTGTTTCGTTTTTTTCGGTTGGATATTTAAAGAAAAAAACATGAGCTTAATTTGTTGGCATCGCCTATACCTTAAGTAAACAATATGTCACCTGCAATCTGATGAATGTAACTTAAATTAGCCTATGAGATGATAATAAGGTTAAAAGCACGGCGGACACAATAGCCTACATGTGTACATTAGGCTCCTCTTATTACTTTCTTTGAGTATTTCCATTTCCTGCTACTTCTACCAGTCTACATTAGAGGTACATTTGACTACACTGTTAGTGACTTTATGTTTCAGATGAGGATACATAACACAAAATAAACAATATAAATCATGCATTATTATAAATTAAGATCAACCTTTATTTATCCCTTGAAGAATTTGACAAGTTACCCAAACGTATAGGCCTAGAATAAAAGGATAATTCAATCATGTAACAGGCTATATTATCCTTAAATGAGCAGTTGTGCGAAATGAGTAGCCTACTTAAAGCAAGAGCATTTTTACGCTAATACAAAAAGTGTTAAATAGGCCTGCATGACTTTTTATTTTACTATACTAAAAAAAAGGTAGTCTGTTTCATCAAGCAAATCGTTTTTCCCTAATTTAAGATCAGATGCAAATGATTTGTATATATTAAAAGGAGATTGTTAAACTGTAAGATGTGAATTGTGGTTTTGAAGGAATCTGCAAAAAACAGTATGTCTTTTTTTATTTATGTGCCGTTTACCATATAATCTAGGACAACATTAAATAGCCTACCGTGTCCTGACGTTGAAGGGTTGAAGTGACTTCAGGTTGGTTTACCTCTGGTCA